ATTTTAATTTCAATGTCATATTTATTTTCCTCAGCTTCATAATGCAAGAACAAAGCAAAACAAAAGAAAACAAACAAACAAAATGAACTGAACTTTAAAGGTCCCAATACTTTTCTAATTTAAAACAGGAAATTTCTCCCCTGATATAACATGGCAGGTTAAAAATCAAAACTGTAAACTTTTCTGTCATATAAACACTTAGTAAAATCTATATTATTATAGATTAGCAAAATATACATTGTTTTTAAAGGTGACTCTTCTGATTCTCCAATTGGAGAATTACTCACAAACCCTTTGCTAGTTTTGATCTTGAAAAGCACATTCTAGTTTTTTAACATTACTGCTAAAAAAAAAAACCCTAATATGTTTAGATTCAGCATTATCATTATTGACCACTGTATTAATTTTTATCACTCTCAACACTTGATACTTCATGCCTTCTATACAACATTCTCACTTCATCTTTTGAATATCATCATAAACTAAGAGAGTTTTACTGAGCTTTATTTTCAGTAGGTTTTATTGCCAAAGTAATAGCCTGACTGTGTTCAAATTAATCTATTTACTGAGAGATTGAATACAGCTTTTTAGAGAAGTCAACGTACTTCTGAATTGTTCATGGTAAGTTTTTCTTTATTTGGTTATGCTTGGCACTAAAAGGCTTAAATAGTTTATTTCTTCATGATTGGTTCAGACACAACACTCTGTGTTGGTAAATATTTTGGCTATTGAAGCCTTTTATTGTTATACCATAAAGATGAAAATAAACTACCGGTTTCCACTTTGATATAATGGAAGAGTACACAAATGTGTTATTAGTTGTAACAACCTGGATTCTTTCCAGAGGAAAGGTACATTTGAGATTTTTTTTTTTTTTATATGCAGAGAAGAAGAGAACCTTCAACTCTCTGACGCCTAAGTTTACTTAAAAGCTGAGTTGTAGGAAAACATATTCACAGAAGGTTGCATGATTATCTACTTCTTCAGAGAATCCAGAAGTCTTAAAATAATGCCTGTAGAGTAGGTTTGTGGTCCAATATTTTTCCCTCTCACAGAATCACTTTTCCTGAATGGCACTTTGGCACTATGTTTTTGTTGATAGAAAAAACTGGCAGCATAATCCTTTTTTAAATGTTTGTTGTAAGAATATAAATAAGGGTGATATCTCTGTCATGACTCCTCCATTTTTTTTTTCTGGATCTAAATGCCTAAAAAAGTTATGAGATTACTAGTAAAGCTAAAAATTAATGATTGTTTTGATAATTTGGACACTTTGAGTTTCATAAATATGTTGGCTTCCTTAGTTTTGTCTGCTAGGAAGCTTGGTGCCAAATATGTGGCGTTATTCCTTCTTGCTCATTCCATCATCCATGGGATATTATGGACATATTTCTGTGCAAAGTATTTTATTATTTTCTTACTAAAATTTTTCTTTTCCTTTGTTTTCCAATTTATTTAGGCTTCTCCAGTTGGGTCATATGTATCTCTTTAACCCACCCTAAACATTTTTTTCTGGAATTTTATGTATAATAAATATAATTAAAATACTATAAAATAAAACTGCAAATATTTAATTGTAGTCAATATACTTGATATTATGCTTTGCTTGGATAAACTAAAGGTCAAAAATAATCACTTTATGGGTAACTGTAATTTTTATGTGTAAAAATATTTTTATCCAGATGTTAAAATATTTACATATATAAATAAATATAATGCCCCTGGATCAACAGAATTTAAAGAAGTGCAGTAGAAATTAATGAAACAATTTAAAAATAAATTAAGACTATATATTCAAATTTTCTCCAGTCAAAAATACTCAGAATGATTGGCAAATACATTTAATATATTGAATCTAAATAAATGCTGAATTTATCTTTAAAAAATTTGAATTTATCCTTTGAAGCAACAGATGAGACTTATGGCTTGAATCAAATTCTCCGTCTACTGAAAAAGCATGTTAACTGAGAATGTACTAAGAAGCCATGGGTATCATGCCTACGATTTGATTTTTTTAGGTTAAATTATTAGAATTTATTATAAGTGCGACTGCTTTAGATATATAGGACATACCTTTTAATTATATGATTGTTTTTTTTAAAAAAAAAAACAAACTTGAGCACCTTCCAAATAAGTTCGTACAAAAAATTATGTAATTTAAATGTAATTGTGTATATTTTTCACTTGACTACTAAGGGATCTTATTGTTTATCATTAAAAGCTTAGAGTTTCAAAAGATCCAGGAAAAAAACCACCAGTTTTCTAAACTTTTTTCCTATTGGGTCTCAAATTAGCATTGTTTCTCGGTTTTAGGAAAAATACTTTCCAGACAGATTCAATAAGCGGACACATCTCCAGACGACTCAAGACTTCTATATGACAATGACAATGTAAAAGCCTTGTTGATTATCTTATGATATTTAAATGATTTTGTGGTGAGGCTAATGCCAAAACACCTCCTTAGGTAACGCAATCAATGAGTTCTATTTGGACTCTGGGATGTAGAGCTTGTATACAGCATACTTTTAAAGTTTCTCCTAAGTCACTTGTAAATTGTAGTCAGATTTTTTTCAAATTACATTCATATCTACCTCTACTCCTTTATGCACCATTATGATAGCATTTCACATTATATTTATAGAGCTACTCTGTTGTTATGGCCTGAATTGTATAACCCCCAAATTCATATGCAGTCCTAACTGCCAGTACCTCAGAATGTGATATATTTGAAGACAGGACCTTTAAACAGGTAATTATGTTAAAATGAGATAATTAAGGTAGTCCCTAATCCAATATGCTTGGATTCCTTATAAGAAGAGGGTTTGGGACACAGACATATACAGAAGGAAGACCATGCAAAAGTACAATATGGCCATTGACAAGCCAAGGAGAGAGGCCTCAGAAGAAAACAACCCTGCTGACACCTCAGTCTTGGACTTCCAGCTTTCAGAACTGAGAAAACACATTTCTGTTGTTTAAGCTATCCAGTCTGTGGTACTTTGTTTTGGCAGCCCTAGCAAACTTATATAGCCACTCAATTGCAAATAAGCAACCAAAGGATTATCCGTGGGGTTAAGGTGTGGGTGGGAAATGACTGAAAATGAAGTCACGATTATTTTCATGAATCCCCTACCTGCACCACTACTTGACCCATGCATGTTTTACTATATTCTGTATTTTAATAGATCATAATTTTTTTGCTTGTTTATGGTTACTTATGTAAGAAATGCCATGAATGGGTCATGTGTATTTAATAAAGAGAAAGACATGTCATGCAGGCATTTTTCTGCCTTTATCTAATGATGTAAAAAGCACAAGTGACACTGCTCTGGCCAAGACTGATAATTGTCCCCCATAATGCATCCTGCCTTTCTTCATTTTAGCACAAGATCATTTCAGCAGTATACATGAGCCTCCAGCTAGAGACTATATTTTGTCACCCTCCCTGGCAGCTAGATATACCCCTGTGACCAGGTTCTTGTAAATGGGATAGGAGCAGAAATAATGCATGAAGCTTTCATAATACATCCTTAAGAGAGAACTGGTTGTCCTCCATTTCATTTTCTCATTATGGCCTGAAATTAAGGTGTGGCACTGGTGAGCAAGTTTTACCCTGGGAGTGCAAAAAGTCTCCAGAAAAATGAAATGTAAAGGACCTAAGTCTTGGGAGGATCTCATGAAGCAAAGCTACCTTCCTTACCCTGAACTACCTACCTTACATTAGAGAGAAATAAACCTCTATCTTCTTTGAACCACTGTATTTTTTGGCTTATTTCTTAGGGTAGCCCAGCCTATACCTAATCATATAATTGTTGTTACTTCAATCGAAATGATCAAATAGAAATTTAATATATTTGAATAATAAGGACAAAAAACAAGGCCAATGTAATTTTTTTAAAAAAAAATTTCAATGTAATTTTTAACGTATACCCTCTGTATTCTCCTTACTATAACAGTTTCCTACCATATATGATACTGAACTAGTGGTAATTCAATATCTTATCTGCAACACGAAATCTATTCTCAATGGGAAGAAAAAGAATTTCATTCGCTACTATTTATTTAAAAATTTTTATGCAACAAAATTTTACTACTACTTGTCCTCTGAATCTATATAAAGAAAAAGTTTTCAGTTTTCATCTCATTATATGATTGTAAGTTCTTACATAATGCATTTAAAGTTTCCCAATTTTGGATAATCTGATGCCATGTTCAATTAAAAATAAAGCATAGATCTCCTAAACAGCTAGTTAATACAGGCAAATGTTTGTTAATTAAGAAGTCCTCAAAGGGGTAGTGTGTGCAATGATTTATTTATGTTTTTTTTCTAAATGGTTTGCTGCCTTCACAAACCTGAGGTGAAAACACGTTATTAATATCAATTGTTTCCTTTATATCAAAACACTTTCATGTAATCTGGTAATGAAACAACTGTAAAAAATATATTAAGCTATGAGTGCCTTGACCTTAAATTTTAGCCAGCAATAAATGTCTGATCGGTTGTCAGAGAAAGGGCAAGCATTTACCAGTTGAGAATGAAAGGAGGTCCTGTACCCTTTGGTGATGAAAATGATAGCACAGACCCCTTGACATTCTAATTGTGACCTTGGTCAGCTGATCTTGCAAATCCTATCCAGCCCACCGTTCTCAGTCTCTGTGTTCTTGCTCTCTTCATGGTTGTAGGGTCCAGCAGGGCAGTCTGACCTCAGGCAAGCTAGAGCCTCATGTCTGTACCTACTTTCTGACTAATAATGCATGCATTATTAGAGAATGTTTTCATAACCTACCGAATTCTATGTAAGCTTTCTGGAAACTCTTGCTGAAGGTTTATCGTGATGCAAAAATATACAGTTAAACTACTGATAAGTTTTTGAGGAAAGTTAAAATGAAGCAAGATAATATTTATAATTTCATTATTGTTGCACATTAATACTTGCTCATAAAATCATATTACTGTTTTCATTTATATTTAAAATAACCTTCAGTGATATAGGTTTTACCTTTCCCCAGGCAACTTCAGAATCCAAATTACTAGGCATTCCTTCAACTGCTGATCTTTTGGTCAATTCCATATCTGTAGCTGCCAGCCATTCTGTCAAGACATTCATTTCCTTTCGCATCTTACGGGACAACTTCAAGCATTTCTCCAACTGTTGCTTTCTTTCTGTTACCTTAAAAGAATGATAATAAAATGTAATTTGGTTTACTTTTCAATTCAGGTTTAGTTATAGCCCCTTAATTGGAACTTTTATCTTTCTGTTGTTTAAAAATAACCATTTTATTACTTTTAAAAATAATATTTTGAAAAAAGCATATATTCTTAATATAAACAATGAATATAAATAGTCTAGGGTAGATGAGATCTATTCAAAAGACTGCATCTTGTATCTGCTGTCATGGAAGCAAGGAAAGCTCTATGAGTTTATCTCTAATATAAATAAAAAATAATTTATGGCTAAAGTTTGTAATAAATAGAATCATAAAAGTCAAACTGAACATATGAGCCATTTCTCCTAGAAAACCTACAGTTAGTTGTCAAAGAGATGAGCACGGTTTGCAATCTTTTATGTACAAACGAGGCTTGCTATTGCTGGTAAGGAATCAAAATGAAGAAAGAATATTATTTCTCTCAAGAGGCAAAGCATTTGCATAATAGTTAGAATTATCAATTTTATCCTCACTGAATTTTTACAGTATCTTACTTTTGCAGAAAAACAATGCAAATAACTGTTCACTTCTTCCTTAAACATAATTTTGCCACCTGATAGGAGCAAAAACTTAACGCATGAATGCAGAAACAAAAATTTTCAGTCATTAATAGAGAAAACCATGACTTGATCCTGTGCTCCTGTTATCAGTGCTTCCAGCCAAGACCTTCAGAACAAATTCTTCCACATTCTCACATAAGGAATGAACAAATTTGTATATCTCCACTACCTTTTCAGAGGTACCTATATTTTGCCATTTGTTGGCTGGTTGGTTTAATAAAAAGCCCAGAATCTCTTCTTAAGTAGTGGTCAATTATCAACAAAAGCCAGATAAATTTGTTCCTCAAAGGCAAGTTCCCTTGACTCACACCTTTCTAAATAACCCCAGTACGCTCCTCACAGTTTCTTGAACAAAGAAGGATCTCACTAAATATGTTTTGTATGTTGCAGAAAGGAATGAATGAAGACCTACAAACCATTAATTGAAAATTAGAAAATATAACTGGTAGGAATTAGATAAAGAATTTAAACTCTTACAAGTTTGTTTCTGTTTTGTTTGTTATGTGTCTTAACTATATGAAAAAAATACAACTTTATTTGTCATGGAGACCGGGAATCTGAGCATTAGATATAAATATTTGACTCTGCAGAGGCAACGTGATGGAATGTAAGTGTGTTACGCTCTGTGATACCCAGTAGACTGTCAACTTTACTATGACCTTTGAAAGGATACCTCATTTTCCTCAGTTTACACATCTATCAAGTAGGATTACTCTTCTTAGCATACAGGGCTATTTTGAGGGTAAAATTCAGACAACAACTGGAGAGAACTTGACACATTGTAACACCTCAGTCCCTTCCTTTAGTCCCACTATTTCCCATCAGGGATAGTTTAATAAAAATTGTAACTGAATGTAGACAGCAAAAGCTTTATTTACATTTATTTTACTACTTTACAGGTAAAGAAAACCTCAAAAAGATTTGGCTTTTGTTGCAAAAGTTCTGAAAAGCAGAGTCCAGATTAATCTCAACTGCAAGGGAATTGGTTATAACAATAACAACAGTAACACAAGTACATATTTGTGCACGAAGCCCTGTGCATAATAAGTAGCACTGATAAATACATATACAACCAAAATAAGAATACAGCTATAACCATGAGAAAATATCAAAGGTGAAGATATCTATAAAGAATTTAAAATAGTAAAATCAAAATAAACACCCTGAAACCTTGATATGAATTCCAAATATTCAACAAAATTCATTAGTTTCTATCAGAGAGGTGTGTACACATGTAGAAAATATTTAGTTGCTGAGGATGCAAATTCATTTCTTTTCCACATTTTCCTTCTATTTTTCCCTGAAAGAAATAGTCTGCCCTTTTGACTACAAGGATTTTATTTGTGTGAGAGGGAGAAAAAATATACGTACTTTATGATGTGCTTCTACACATACTTATTTTTTCTATGCACTATTAGTTAAAAAAAAAGAATTCTACTTCCACAGAGCTATTTTAATTTATTTTCTTTTGTTTAGATCCACCTAAATAGGTTTTTAAGACACAGGAGAAACTGCTATCTGAAGGAAAACTGAATTTTACACTTTTTCGGGGGGACAGATACTTTTAAAAGAGTACTACTTGCAGTAAAATGTTTAGCTGTTATTGTTTCATGAATACTTAAAAATATATTTTGGGGATGATATGAGTATTGCTATACATGAATATTTTCATAAAAATCAAAGCATGGAGTTTGTGGTATTAGGATTAATATTATATATTATTCAGTATCTATTGATTAGAGATTAAAGATTATTCATCCTTCCATAATTAATGTTAAATGTGAAATAACTGTCCTCTATGAAAATTGATAAATACTGGAATGAGACATCAAGTGTAGATATAACATCTCTCTCTGTGGTGATGTATAACACAGTGATTCCAGAAAAGGAATAATAGGTATTACTACATCAAGGGTGCTAGGTTTAATATCTCTAAATAAAAATAATTACATTTAGATATAAAAAAACTTTTATTTTTATTCATTGAACAATTAAACTGTCTAATATTTTTTTAAAAAACAGTAAAATTGTGTTCTGTAAGAAAAGTGCTATGAATTGAATTGTGTTCCCCCGAAATTCATATGTTAAAACCCTAACCCCCAATGTGACTGTATGTTGAGTCATCGTATCTGGTCTTTAGAAAGGAATTAAGGCTAAATGAGGTCATATGGGTGGACTCTACCCTTTCGGAACTGTGACCTTTTAAGAAGAGGAGATCTTTCTCTCTCTGTCTCTCTCTCTACCTTGTGAGGACACTTGAGAAGGTATGCAAGCCACGAAGAGAGCCCTCTCTAGAAACCAAATGAATTAGCACCTTGATCTTGGATTCCAGGCTTCAGAACTTTGAGAAATAAATTTATGTTGCTTAAGACACCCAGTCTATAGTGGGTTGCTTAAGTTACCCAATTTGTTATGTCAGCCTGAGCTGACTACTACAAAAAGGCAACATGTATTGAATTGAGGCAAATACAATCATATAAATTTGGAAGGGTCCTTTTTTAAAACATATAAAACATAATGTAATAAAATACCGTTTGTTGCCTTTGATTCTATTAAACAAAACCACTGTTGGTAAAGATGTTTTGAAGGCCAAAATGCGGACATTTTTGGTTTCAGTCAAGGAATGTATTAATTACATCATTTTTATAAAATGGTATTTATACATGATCCCTCAATCATTAATGTTCCTAAACGAATATTTAACTCAAAAATAAATTTCTGCCCTATTTTTTTGGTATATTCTGTCGTGCTATTAAAGTATGATTTTTTAGTACTCCTTTCATTTGGCTTTAATGATATTACTAAGTGTCAAATGGCTAAAATAAACAAACTCTCAGATATTTATTTTCAGGGATAAATAGGGCCTTACATCATTATGAGAGTCATCCAATTCTTGATAACCTTCAATTTGGGGCACTAGTAGTGTTCTAATGTGACTTCCATTGCTTTAAATTCTAAGTGATTTATTCTATGTTATTTTATGTTAAATTTACTCTCTCAAAGGCAAACATTTCGCACAAATACTTTATGACACAGAAAAGACCCAGATAATAATTTATATTTGAATAAATAAACTGAGAAAACCCACTTTTCCATAATACATATTTTCTTTTTTCTTTCTTTTTTTTTTTTTTTTGTCTTTTTTTGTGACCAGTAAGGAGATCGCAACCTTTGGCTTGGTGGCGTCTGCACCGCGCTCAGCCAGTGAGCGCACCAGTCATCCCTACATAGGATCTGAACCTGCGGCAGGAGCGCTGCTGCGCTCCCGGTGCCGCACTCTCCCGAGTGCGCCACGGGGTCACCATCACATTATTTTAATGTAAAGTCATACAGGTAAAATTATAAACTGTTGAGTATAAAGAGAATAGGTTTACAGAATTAAATAAGTTGCCGTATTAGGATTAATATTATATATTATTCAGTATCTATTTATTAGAGATTAAAGATTATTCATCCTTCCATAATTAATGTTAATTATGAAATAACTGTCCTCTATGAAAATTGATAAATACTGGAATGAGACATCAAGTGTAGATATAACTTCTCTCTCTGTGGTGATGTATAACACAGTGATGAACCTCTCTAGAAGAATACGAGGGTCTTTTATTCCAAAGGTACCTTGGTAAACTAAGGAAGAAAGCAGTAGAAACCTATGTTGTTTCTAGATTATCATGATGCTTTGCTAGTAATCGGGTATCAGTGTTCCTCAATTTTACAACACATTAGAAGGAGAACCTTTGGTCATAGGATAATAACAAATTATTTTTTAAAACATGTCAAATATAAATTAGAGAGCTTTTAAAGTATAAAAATAAAGACTATTAACTAATAAAAATGGATATTTCCAGATTTCCTACATAACAACATTTCAATCAACATATACAACTGTGGATGGAACAATAGGCTATACCATACAGCCTAGACGTATAATAGCATATACCATCTTTGTTTGTGTAAGTACAGTCTGTGATGTTCACACAATGATGAAGTCCCCCAACAACACATTTCTCAGAACATATCCCAGTCATTTAGTGACACATGAATATATATATGTACATATTTATGTGTGTAATGAGAGAAACAGAGACAGTGAGAGAGAGAGAGAGAAAGAGATAGAGAAAGAGACACTAAGAACTTCTGAGCCTCTATTTGTACATAATTTACTGCCTCTTGCTTTACAATTGATAAGGAAAGTAGAAAGTAGTGTTTGTGGTCTCAGCACATACGCACCTTTGCACCCAGCTCATTATAATGCAATTTCAAAGCTGTTACTCTTTCATCAAGCTCTTTGGGGTTTTCCGTCTGTTTCTTCTGTACAATCTGACGTCCAGTTTTTATCACCATTTCCACTTCAGATTTCACTTCACTCAGACTTTTATACAAGTTCTAAGTTAAAACATAAAGCATAAAAATAAGCAATAGCGTTAAATTAAATCATATTGTTATCAACAAAAAGAAATAGGATTGATATAACCTTAATTGGTATTCTATTTTTCCAGCTTTAATGGACTACCATTTTGCAGCTGTGGTCAACATCTAGCTTTTGCATTTTCTGCTGATTTAACGTTTCTATCTGCAGTTATATACACACATACAGACAAGCATAATTTGAAGCTATTCTTATCAAAGTAAGAGTGCATGATATATGAGAATAGTTCAAAAAGTTCATGGAAAGATTTGTGTGATCTTTTAATTGTTTTATACCATGAACTTTTTGGAGTACCTAATATACATTTACTTCTTCACTCCAAATCCATAAAGGTAATTTCTAAAAGTTATTGTTTCTATTTTAAGTGGAGGGTTATGTAATCCTGGATGTGAGTTTGGATAAATTAATTCACTCATTCACCAGACACTTATTGAGTACCTACCATGTACCAAATAGTACTTGAGTCACCAAAGATTCAGTGGCAGACAAGATAGACATGTTCACTGTTATTCTCATGATGTTTACATTTTAGTAGCATAAAACATCTAAATTTCTAGTTTATAATTTCAGTATATATTATATAATATATAAGGAAGTAATGTAATTTAAAAAATGCTAACTAGATTTTACAAATATATTTTCTTAATTGTGCTGATAAAAATGTAAACAGATATATGAAAATATTATTTAAAACTCACATATACAACACAACTATAAAGCACATACACATTGCTTCACAAGAGTAGGTTGCCATAACAAAGCCTCCTGAGACAAGTGTCATAACACTGGAAGACCTCTATACTTACCACTATACCACCAACACGACTTGGTGTTATATCTTTGCTGTGTAGTTATGTTCCTGGAAAGATATATGTTTGTATGTATGCATGTATACATGTATATATGTACATTTGTATATGTGTATTTATAAATACAAGTATATATAATAGTTTAACTTATATATTGCTGCTTTAAGTTTTTAGTGGTAAGTCTGAACAATAACTATTTATTTTATTATTACTAAGAAACAAACTTGCTATGAGGTAATTGTTTTATGAGACTGGAAAAAAATTGGGTGTGTTTCCTCTTTTCAGTTTGAAAATCACTGTCTAAAACAAAACATTTTATAAAAGCTAAGCACTTATCTAATTAATTAAGTCTATGTGCATAAAATGCCTCCCTCTTAATTTCCTTTGATGATCGATGTTAATATTTTTTATTAATAATTATGAGTTCTGTTTAAGCTTTCCAGATTATTTTTTACTTCATTTTACTTTTGTTTTAGATATAAAAATATCTGGGTAATTGGAAACACTGAAGTCATTAATTGTTATGTTGGGAATCAACTAAATGAATTTTGGAATAAGAGATACTTCCAAATGATTTACTCTTTAAAATTTAAAAAAATATATCAGTAATTTATCTTTATGATTAAAGCTCATCCAAGGTATTGTTAGCCATTAACATCATTTTATTTAATAGACAAAGGAAATACTTATAACCAAGGAGGGGAAAAGTTCCTTATATTTGTGTTGGTGTTAGTAAGAAACCTTTTAATAAACAAAAATTTCTTGAAGTCAAGCCCATAAGTATAGCACACATAGAGTATCTTAAGTAATAAAAATATAAAAGTTGTAAAGAAAAGATGTCCTATGGAAGAACTACTTGAATCTGTCTTGGCATTTAAACCAGAACCTGAAACAAACTAAGCTGTGTTCTTTGTACTGATGCATGGCACAGGCACAGCTGGGCACAGGTGGGGTTGTTGTCCACTCATATTTACTGGTATGAGTAAATATAAACTGGTAGATAAGTTTAATGAGGTAACATCAGAGAACTGTTCACAGAAGAGAATGAACAGCTCTCATTGTGCAAATGAGAGTCTTAGTCGCAGTTATAGTGTACTTGGGTCCTTCTTGCTTTCAATTCTATTGCAAAATTTAAGATGAAATACATCCCCATGTTGTTGCTGTTTTAAGATTAATATATTCCCGTGCTGGATTTCATTAAAATATATATGCAAAGCACCATAAGAATTAAATGAAGGCCTCCTTTTATATTCTGCACAGTCCTTAACCAAATTATATATTAAAAATAAACACACAATAGGCATTAAATGGCTACTATTTCAGTAAAAGTTCTTGTCTCTAAATACACTTGTGCCAACTTTTATTCTTAATCTTAAAATTATATTATACAATTATTACAGTTACCTGAAAACAATTTTGTGTTTTAAAAGAGGATCATTAAATGCATTTTAGCAAGGAAAGGAAAGGATAGCTGCATATATACCACCAGAAATACATACCACACAATGATTTAATTGTGACTGTACTACTTCCTGTTCAACACTCTTTGTTTCCAACGCAGGCAAGTGCATCTTTACTTCATCTAAAATCATCTTACTTTCCTGTAGACGCTGCTCAAAATTGGCTGGTTTCTGGAATAATCGAAACTTCATGGAGACATCTTGCAATTTTTTCTGTAAGGACAATGTAAAAAGGCAACAATTTAATTTTGCCTTCCAAACAATAACAAGTCCTATTTTTGTTAATAAATTTTTCCTTATTTCTGAAGATACATATGAATAAAAATAAAAACAAAATAAGGCAATCTTTTTTCCCCATTCATTGAACATATACACATGCTAAACACACATTTGGGAGAAAACTTCAGTAGTTTTTTTTTAATGTGATACTAAATAAAAGGTAATTTATTAACCTATTTTATGTTTTAAATGTACAAAGCAAAAAATATTGTTCAGAAATCATACTGTAGTTTTCAAATAATGCCCTCAATCCTAATTTTGCTAATAATCAAATTGTCTAATATAAACTAAAGTATGTTTTAATGTTCAACTAAATCAAGTTCCTTAGTTTATGCAATAAAATATACCTGTGCAACATCAATTTGAGATAGGACCCTTTGGGCAGCATCCTTCCCTTGGTTATGTTTCTTCATTTCCTCTAAACTTATCTCATGACTTGTTAAATCCGACTGGATTTTCTGTAGGCAGAACAACATTATTAGTCAGCATGCTCTGTAAATTATTGCAAAGAACAACTCAGTTTTAAGATGATGGGATTCAGAAACTCTCCTAAATTATTATCACAATGTAGCTCCCTTTAAAATGATAGCACATATTTTTTTACTTACTATAAATTATAAAAAATAAAATGGAATTTCTCCCCTACTGAGATTATTATGAAAAATAAACGATCATTTTGAATCAGTGATGACAAACAGCTATTTCAGATATAATTTTCAAAAGGGAATATCTAATGTATAGAATTAACACTGTTTTATCTTTGAAGTTACACTTAAATCTGACCAAAGACAAGGTGTTAACCTTTAAAAACAAGCTAACTGTGAAAGAAATAAGATATAATAAGAAAGTTATATGTGGATAACATTCCTTAAGAGCAGTATTTTTTTCAGTCGTTCTGTGTCATGTTCTAGTTAAATTTCAGGGAAACTATCGGTTTAGGAAAGATATATTAAATGCTTCAAAATGGTTTTCTATAGATATTGATATTTGAACTTAAAATAACTATAAAATATTTCTATATTTTTATATTCAATAAAGACATTTTATCAAGTTATACTTAAAAGTATGTCTGTATTTAACCTATGAATGTCTGAACCAGTTATAGGGATGGGTCAAATCCTGCAGTGTACAGATACCAAAAAAATGTTTGTTCATTTCTTCTGTCACTTCCAGCAAGAAACAGCTAGGGGTCCAATTATTCTAATTTAAAATTCAGCAATTGATAGTTCACCATAAATAAGTTAAGGAAGAAGAAACTGATTAACTTATACCTCAGTACCCATAAAATTATCATCCCAGACAACTTTTGTAATGCATATTAGTATAAACTAATTTACAGCAACTGGAGTCAATTCTGGTACATATTATTAGAAAATAACATCAGTTTTGCTTAGCAGTTACCACAGAGAACTAGAGCCCTGAACTGAGCAATGAAAATTATCACAAGAATATATGCTAAGTGGTGATGGAGTTCCTTAGGATATAAGGTTATAAAGGTACAGATACATTTTAATATTATTCCTTAGCATATTGGTCATAAAAGTATAACAGTAAATTAATTATAAATTCCTTAAGTAATTAGAATTCTGCTTTAAAATAAATAAGAGCAAAGACTCATGTAAATGGATGTGTGTGTGTGTGCGTGTGTGTGTGTGTATATATATATATATATATATTTTTTTTTTTACTACATACAATATCTTTATTGGTTGAGTAACTACCTTGCATGAGAAATACTGATATGCACTTTTCTTCAGGACCCATAGAATCTTGGGGTTAGTGATCCATCCATAGTGCATAACACTGTTCATAGAACAAGAAATGCTAAAGAATCTAAAAAATTTTATAAGAATGTGTAAGGTGCAGTGACACTTATACATGGGGAGTTAATAGATGCCACAGGGGAGAAAATGTTAAAGTAGAACTCTGAATAATTGGGCCGGCCCGGTGATGCACTGCTATAGTGCGCCGCTTGGGAAGCGTGGCGGCGCTCCCACCGAGGGTTCGGATCCCACATACAGACCAGTTC